TTCAATGTACAAAGTGAGATTCCCCTTATCCGTGGGATGTCTTTCTTGTGGTAACTTTACCCCTTTTTCGATAGTAAGTAACGAATATGAATCTATTTTCTTTTCCATCAGTATTCAATCCTGACATTGTCATGAAATTGAATATTACCACTCTCAGTTGCCACTTCATTTTCAAAAAACAGTAAAAAATTTATAACAATGTAATTGTTGTTAATCTCAGTCAATTATCGAAGAAAAAAAGTTAAATAATAGCAGATAAATGCGAAACATTAATTATGTGTACAACATTAATTACAACAACACAATATCATCGTGACTGCTTATTATAATTCACGATCATGTCATCAATAACATTTGGTATCACATTGAATATTTTACTCATAATTCACTCATGAGGATAGTCCCTCTTTCAAGGTAGAAGTTAAAATTATCTGTAACTCCTATTTTTTAGATCCCATTTCAGGCATAACCTGATTTGTTGGGAACGATTTATTGTAATGCACTTAACATACCTCAAGAAATTCTCAAACATTTTTTTCAATTTCTGAAAGTGCTTTGTCCATAATGCTGCGAGCTCTACACATGGCCACTAATGGCTTAGCTTTTGGCATGGTGAGCCCATTTCCTTCAGCCAAATCAACCTCCCCTACACTAATCCTCTCCCACTCAAAGCATTGAATCAATGATCCCAAAGCTGAACCTACCACTCTCTGAGCTAGTCCAGCACCTGGGCAGGACCTCCTTCCCATTCCAAATGGCATAAGTTTGTGTGCCTCAACCTCCCCACCTTCAAACCTTTCAGGCTTGAAGCTTGTTGGGTCATCCCACACCTTAGGGTCCCTATGAATTGCCCACGCATTGACTAATAAAATCGTGCCGCGTGGAACGTTGTATCTCCCGAATGTACAGTCAACAGACGACTCGTGTGGCACTAATAATGGTGCTACAGGTAATAATCAAATGGTCTTGGATATTATATTGTGAAGGTAATGCAAATTGGAGAAACCTACTTCATTTATCAAGCGATCAGAGCCCACATGAGTGTCTAATTATGTCATAACCTTCTTCAATATTTCATGATGGTTGAGTAAAACTGACATTGCCCATTCTAGCATCACAGATGATGTGTTTGTGCCCATAGTTAGCATTACCTGCACATTATAAGTTCATCAAGTGAGATCAAGAAAAAATTAAAAATGATTGAAATCAAGGATAATGTCAAAAACTTTCTGTACCCAGCTGACCTTAGATTTTTTACTGGGAGGGATTATATCTAGAGTAAATTGTATTTTAAATACTCAAAACTTTACACTTGATTTATATTTGGCCCCAAACTATGAATTAAACCAAACAAGTCGTTAAACTTTATCTTCTATTTCAATTAAATCTCTCAGTTTAAATCCTTCAATAATTCTAAAGAAAAGGAGTCACTGAAGCATAACCTGGTCTAATTATGGGATTAACTTTGAATAGAAAAATATAATTTGGATTTAAGTTGGGGACCTAATTCAATGTAACTATTGGATTGAAACCCACTTGACATTGAAACTCACAACTAATCTAATAGTTGCATTGAATCAGGTCTCTATTGCATTGCTCGATTGAATAAGTTGGCACTAAGGTTAGAGTTTATGTATTAAAGTAGTGGGCCCTAATGTATTTATTCTAAATTATATTAGATTTTTATGTCTTCGATTAATACAAAATGAATTAAAGATAAATAGATTATTGTAAGATGGATAGTTTAGGAACTATGAAGACTCTTGAGTGACTGGGTATAACTGGGTAATCACTCTTAAGAGGAATTGACCAAGTAAAATTCTAAAAGTTTTTAAGTCAAAATAACATTAAAAATGAATATAGGAGATCGAGAAATTTTGGAATAAGTTATATGAGGTGTATTAGATATTTAAAAGTATTTTGAAGTTAAAATATATTTTGGAGACAATTCGGGTAGAAATAAATTTGATATTACCTTATTATTTCAAACATAACTTTTGACTACAATACTCGATTGATTTGATATTTGAACAATAAAAAATAGACTTCAAGAACTACAATAATGCATTTTATAAAAAATTTTGTGAATCAATATCTAACTAAATTAAAATCGAACTAAAAATCTTGGCCATAGAGTTACCCGCATTGGGACCCGAAAAGGACATCTAACCCCGTCAATTAATTGCTCCATCAATTATCGGCAACGTGATGTGTGCGCTTACTCAAAAATCTATCACCATGCATTTCATATCGAAAAATGATATGTTTATCAAATTTTTTTATTAAATTTTTTATCTTAAATAATGTGGTACTATCTCTATCACTTGAATATGGATGAAACTCACTTATCTGATAGCGAAAAACTCTACCACCAAACTATGAATTAAAACAAACAAGTTGTTAAACTTTAACTTCTATTTCAATTAATCTCTCAATTCAAATCCCCCATAATTCTAAAGAAAAGGAGTCATTGAATCATAACCTGGTCTAATTAAGGGATTTACTTTGAATAGAAAAATGTAATTTGAATCTAATTTGAGAACTTAATTCAATATAACCATTGGATTGAAATTTACTTGACATTGAAACTCACAATTAATCTAATAGTTACATTGAATTAGGTCCTTATTGCATTGCTCGATTGAATAAGTTGGCCTTAAGGTTAGAGTTTATATATTAAAATTGTGGGGCATCACGTATTTATTCTAAATTATATTAGATTATTATGAATTGGATTAATACAAAATAAATTAAATATAAAATAGATTATTGTAAGATGGAGAGTTTAGGAACTGTGAAGACTCTCAAGTGACTTGATATTACAGGGTAACCACTCTTAAGTGGAGCTGACTAAGTAAAATTCTAAAAATTTTTATGTCAAAATAACATTAAAAATGAATCTCGGAGATCGAGAAATCTTTGAATAACTGATATGAGGTGTATTAAGTTTGAAAGTATTCCAAAATTAAAATACTTTTGAGAGATAATTCGGGTAGAAAAAAATTTGATACTACCATATTATTTCAAATGTAACTTTTGACCTCGATAGCCAATTGATCTAATTTATGAATAATAAAAAATAGACTTTAAGAACTACAATAATATATTTCATAAAAATTTCGTGAGTCGATTACTAACTAAGTTAACATGGAACCAAAAGTCTGAGCCAGAGAATCACCCGCGTTGGGACCTGAAAAGTGCATCTGACCCCATCAATTAATTGCTCCATCAATTATCAGCAACGTGACCTGTGCGCTTCCTCAAAAAGCTATTATCATGCACTTATGTTTACTAAATTTTTTTATTAAATATTTAATTTCAAATGATGTAGCATAATTTTTATTATTGAATATTGCCAAGACTGATTTATCTGATAATGAAAAACTCTACTCTGTCATGTCATTTAAGATAGAGATTTAGTAAAAAAAATTTGATAAACATATCATTATCCTTCCATACCCCAGCCGTACTAGCATGTGATTAGGAACATTGAAGATGTCTACTTTGTGTCACCTTCACACCCACAAATTTATGATAGATATCTAATCTGTATAAGATCTTCAATTGTGTGGCTAACAAAATCTTGCCGGAGTTAGAAATAAAAATCTTGTCTTTAATGGATTATGTAGTGGACAAACACCTTATTAAGAGAGATACATAAGTTTAAGTTATGAAGGTGAAATATAAGTATTTATCTAATATACTTCTTTGCATGTGATTTCTCTTGGATTTATTTCAAAAATTATTAAATTTATTGTCGTTTCAGTTATAAGTTGTATACAATGGAGTTCGTATAATATCCAACAGTTCCGGTCCTTCTAGTTTGCACTAAAGTGAAACATAAAAAAAAAAATTAAAATTAAACTCTTTCTCTAGTAAAAAAAAAATAAAAATAAAAGTTAAAATATTTTTTTCTCAATAACACTAACACTAACACATCCTTCTTCTGTCTCTCTCTCACAAAATAAATTAATTTTTTGAAAAAATTAATGTTCAAAATAAAAAAGTTCTTCATTTCTTGTTTTCACTTTAAACCTCAAATGACCTTGAATCACGGGAGAGCCCTTCGCACTCCCCTATGGAGCCATACCCCCGAGTTATTTTCTAAGTTCATTGCATTTTTCGATTGCTTCAATGCCGATTCTGTTTTTCAAGGTCTCTTAATCTCCAAGAGCCTATCTCTATTCCTCTCCTTGTCTATTTTCTCACCGTTACAATCGTCCATCCTGTCTGGTTAGCACCCCTATTCACAGTTCTATAGCCCCTTGGAAAATCCCTGTAATGGAAACCTCTATGAATTTTGCCAGGTACTTGTCACCCTCTCTTTTTCAAAAGCTCCGTCTCCCTCATTAACTCCCCATCTTTTCTTCTCCTATATAGCCAGTGCCCTTTTCCAATCCTGTTCTTACCTTTAATTTCCTAAAGCCACTTTCGGTCCCCTATTTCTTCCCCAAAGCCTTCGTTCTGTGAATCCCCCAATATTCTCAATCCTATTCCCTTCATCTGATACTTCTACCCATAGTTTTAAAACCCGGCCGGAAATCAACCCAGCGAAAAAAGCGGATCAATGGGTCACTACTCATTGGGTTAACCGTTGGGTCACTAATCTAATCGGTAATATAATTAATAATAAAAAATAATTATAAATAAGCTAAAATTCATAATAATTATGAAAAATAGCATCAAACTTGAACAAGCAATGTTATATAGACTTAAAATCTAGACTTGATAATCTTAACTATTAATTTCACTGTGGGTCTCAACATTTATTGAGACCGACTACCTATTCAATGGTTGAGATTATCAAGTCTAATTTTTAAGTCCATCTAACATTACTCAACTTATAAAATATTAAAAATTTCTAGCATCAACAACATCCCAACAATATTAAAAATATAGATTCAAGCTTACAAAGCTCTTACATCAACTTTCATAAATATGTTCAAATTGCCAAATCTGCTCAAGCTCAACAGCAGATATAAGCAAAAAAAAAAATTGCCCTAATCGCTCAATTGATCAAATAGCATTATCATAGATTCAAAGATTGACCAAAAAATCAAATGATTGTAATGGTTTCTCTACTACTTAATGAAAGAATCTTTTCTAGTAAAAATAAAAATCAGTAATTATTGTTTTTTATCGTCATTTGTCCATTTTAATGTCTACGCCAAATTGAAGCAGAAGATCTCACTTAATGTAAATAGAAACAAACAACAGAAAGTAATAGTACCTAGCCCTGCATGAGTTTATCTGGCATCATCAACTTTCAACTGGGAGAACACACCAGCATTTAAAAAATTTGTATCTGAACCATCAATCGCTCCCAGGGTCCATTCATCTTCATCCATGGTGATGCTATTAGACGGTAAGCGATTAACGACATGCAATGACAACTCCAATGAAGCATCTATGGTCCTGTCTTCATATGGCTCTCTTAGAACTGTGGTTTGGTTGAGCTGCAGTGCATATTCCAGATCCCACAACACATCGATCATTCCGGGCCTGCCAATCCCACAATCCATCAAACACTTCTTCACTGTTTCCCCAAATTTTCTCAGTGAATTGGGATTAATTTTGTCCTCCAGGAAAGGATCAACAATTTTTTCGAGCTGTCCTTTCTTTTGCCAAGACATCCCCCAATCAGCCAAGTTCACTTGATCCCGCAGAAGCAAGCTTCTAATGGCTGGTCTAGCACAAAAAACTTCAAGCAGAACCACCTCGAAAGAGTACACATCCGATTTCTGAGTTAATTGCAGTCACCTAAAGTACTCAGGATCGAGATATCCAAAACTTCCTTTTAAACCTGTGCTGATATAGGTTTGATCAGGGGCACCTGATCTTGAAAGACCAAAATCAGCAACTTTAGCCAAATAATGTTCATCAAGCAAGTGTTGGTTGAATTGACATCGCGATGAATGATTCCCCACCTGAACTAGTGTGAAGGTAATGAAGACCCTTTGCTGCTCCAATGCAGATTTCAAGCCTTCAATTCCAATCCAATTCAGATCGTGAAGACAATGATCACCTAGAGTCTTCATTTAAATTATAGAGATGGTCTCTCAGAGTTCCCTTCTCCATGAATTCATAAACCAGTATCATTTCGGACCTTTTGTCACAATACCCAATCGAAGAAACAAGATGGCGATGGTGAATTTTCAATACGACCATGATCTCAGTTTGGAACTCTGGAAGGCCCTGGCCATGTCCTGGTTCACTTCTTTTCACAGCCACTTTCATTGCGTTCCAAAGAGTTCCTTAGTAGACTTTCCCAAACCCTCCCTCACCAATTTTCAATTTGGTATCAAAATTATTTGTTGCATACAGTAAATCAGCAAAACTTACCTTTAATCCGAGGTTCAAATTTGGAAGAGGTGAGCCTCTGCTGGATTGTTGAGTAATCTTACTGTATTTCAAACCAAACAAAACCACCATTACCAATATGAGGATAACAGCCACACCTCCAACAACTGAACGAACTATCATACGCCAATGTTTTGTAGTTGGCTCCGTTGTCTTTGGAGCTGATCCCACTTCTTTGATTAGCTGCATAATCTCCAGCCCATTCAGAAAGGCTGACTGATGCTTCGAATCATTCCGGAGACCAATACTGACATTCAAAAAACCCGAATCATCCGTATCAACCACAAAATCATAGTAAAAAGGAACTACCAACTGGGGAAATGTGTGGTATGGATTGATCAACTGATCGAACTTGCTGAAAATGTAGAAATTGAATATCGAAAAATTGAGGGTCCTACTGACAATGTCACAAAAGTGCACCCGGACAAGGTGTGTAGCATTTTCTCTCACCTCAAATCGCCATGTTATATTGGAAAAACTAGACATATTACTATCGTCTCCGTTTAACTGTCTGGCACTCTGGTTGACATAAAGAGGGGCTGAATCTTCAGTTGCCAATTCATCTTAATAATTAGGCGTAGCAAAATAATAATCACTGTTTTTTGCAGCATCCTTCTTAACAAGATAATCATCATCGGGTAGCCAATTCCTCCAGAGAGTAGTATCATTTTCCGGCGTGATGGTGAGGCCTCCGACATTAATCCGATGGACTATTTTGAGAATATTAGACAGCAAACCACTGTAATTACTGTTATTTCCAGCAGGAGTGACATATTTTTATTGCATTTACGAATGCAAAAGATGATTCTTGATAAGGTAAGAAGTAAATTGGGTACTTCGCAGCATTAATGGTGAGCAAGAATTCTTTAATCACAGGTGAATCGTAATTACCACTGCTTTGGACTCTGAAATTCGATAACAGCGAATACACAGAAGCCGTAACGTTGAAATGAGCATCAGAGAGATTGGTCGGAGAAGAAAAGGCATAGAAATGGAGGCGTACCACGTAAGTGCTGTTTTTGACTATTTCAAGCTCATACGAAGATGGGTTCCTGAAAATTCTTGCAGTTTGGTAGAGAGGAGAATTGGGTGTTCATGTGTCGGTGCTTTTAACACTGTCAGATAGGGTGAAATTGTCGGAGTTGCCGTCGGCGATGAAGTTTCAGCCGTTGACAGTGACGTCGGAGTCTCAACCACAGTTGATGAAGTACTTTTCGCTTGGAATGTAAGCAGACGAGAGAGAAGAAAATTGGAAAAGGAGGAGACAGAGAGAGAAAAGTCCCTTGTGCTGGTAATGGTTTTTAAAGAGCCGAGATTCAGCTGGGTCAAGTCTAATTAAAGAGATGGGCCCAAGTCAGTTAAAAGTACAGTTGAGTTCAACTCCTGAATTTGGTTTAATTCAAGTTTAAGGAGACCACGAAAATTAGAGTCCGTGAGGAAAAATCATCAGGATACCGGATTCAGACGTTTTCCAATACCCTTTCCTCTAATTTTTCTCAATGTTCTATTAAATTATTGACACGTCAAAAAAAATTATTTTAACGGACAAGATTTTTTTGAATAAATCACAGTCCTTAACTTTAGTTAACTCCGGATTCCATTATGTCCTAAAAAAAAAAAAAACTCCAACTTCGGTGATGGGACAACTGTCCAACTCCCGAACCAGTCCCACAACCATCGCAAATCAAGTTAAACAAACCCACACAGTCTAGAACTTTAAGTCCCCAAATTTAGATCAAAACTGAATTGGAAGTTGAAACTGAATTTTTTGCACATTCAACTGTAACGAAGACGACGAGGTAAATGTCGAATTTGGGTTGGAGTTGATGAGGAAGATAGATTCTCATATTGATCCCCGGTGAGCAAAAAATTTGGAGGATTTTTCCAACTCCGATGGCAATGAGAGAACCACGGGGGGGGGGGGGGGGGGGTGAATTTTGATGACAAAGACTAATTTTTTCTCAAATAGATGTAGTGGAGTATGGCGAGCCGCAGATGTGTTGAGAGAGAGAGAGAGTTGCAGATGCTTTTATGCTACTGTTATTCATTTCCTATAAATCGCGCGGAGGGGATGTAGTTAACTAAAGTTAAAGACCGTAGTTTATTCAAAAAAAATTTGTCCGTTAAAATAATTTTTTTGAGGTGTCAATCATCTAATAGACCATCGAGAAAAATTGGAGGGAAAGGGTAATGGAGAGAATCTGAATCCCAGGATACTAGCTATTAAAGACCTAGACAAACTTTAATTACACTTATTTATTGTAATTGTCCTCTTGAAAGACTAGTGCATTTACTTTCAAGTCACCGTCTCAATTAAACTTCTATGTCTATAAATTATAAGTTTTCTTTATAGGGAAGGAGACATTTCTACACCTCACACATAATTTTTCTCTCTCCTAGTTATTGTATTTCTCCTGAGGCTAACCATTACTCTTTCTTGTTCATCTTATTTAATTAATAAAATGTCTATCGGCCAGCGTTGTTGTTTCTTATACTGGAATAGGTCACCCAAACTGAACCACTATATATCTGCATGTTGATCCGCCATTTAAATTATTGTCATTAATTATTTTATTTATTGTTCATTAATTATATTTTATCACACACTCAAACATTAATCTTGTAATAAACTATTTTGTGCATCGTCAATTTTCCATGGGATTCGATTTGAGAACATATTGTTACTGAACGAGGCTTATCATTTAAGAGGAGAGAAGGATAGAAGACGACGATACAAATGAGAAATCAGAAATGAACAAGAGTACATAAAAGGAAAGGTGCGGTTGACTTCTTGTTGACTAGTTGCAGTTGGATTTTCTTTGATACAGAATAAGAATTATGGCTCTTAAGCGACTAATAAAAAATAAATTTTTATTTTTAATATTAATAATTTATTTAAAATTTATTTTTCTCGTTTTTTGAGATGTAAAAGTATTAATTAATTTTTTATATTTAAGTTTTGTTTTTATATTTTTTTAATTTATAGTATTATTAATCTACTTAATATTTCTTGTAACATAGTTAATTTTAGGTAATCTATTTAATGGAAGTTTGAAATAAAAAATACGAAGGTATTAAACAATAGGATCTAATTTATTGTTGTTTTCCATTTTTTCACAAAATCTGATTATCACTGTAGCTTGAACTAAGCCACCAATTATCCAAACTTAATCATAATGCCAATAGACTTTTTGAATTTTTTGGTGTATAAAACACCTAACAAGCAAAGGCAGAAGTTGCCCTTTAATTTGTTAGAGAGAGAGAGAGAGAGAGAGAGTAAGGACTTTTGAGGTAACTCTAATTTTATTGCAACTTTTTTTTTAATTCTAGTTTTATGATTTTTCTAGTGTCATGGGTTTGAGAACTAGGTCTAAACATCCAATTTAAATTTAATTTGGGTTAATTGGAGGTTAGTCTATATATGTGGACATTTAAGTCAACTAGTGAAAGTACACGTGCGTTGCACGCGAGTTATTTTAAATATCAAATAGTATAAAATAGTTTTGTTATGTAGATTATAAGATTTTTATTGTTTTAAATCTTTAAAAAAAAAAAAAGAGGTCTTTGACCACTTCATCGTAAAAAACCACTCTAACAACGGATTAAGTGATTTTCTAGTGTTAATTGAAATGTTAATTCAAATCAAAGCAGGAGACATGCTAGTGTTAATTGAAATATTATTAAAGGTAAATTCCTATCAGAATCTTACTCAATTCAAAATTTATTATTGTACTATCTTTGACCCATAAGTGAAATTAGAAAACATATGAGAATCCCGAATCAAAAAATAATATAACCATTGGCATAAGAGATCACACATGTATTGATGAAAAAAACTACAAATTTTACTATGTAACGTAGCGTAATACATGATTTTATAGTAACACTTAAAATTGACCTCATCTCAAAGTGAGTTATTAGAACATCCAATTGTTATAAAATTTAAAATGGCGACTACTCCATACATTTTTTCCAAGAGGTTCTCAACATCAAAGTGTCAAGGGCAAGCCACATGTTCTACCACTCTGTAGTTTTGTTATCAAGTTCTCCAAAAGATGACATCTTTTTTAGATAAAATAATAAATTAAATTATGAGTTAAAAAAAGCATTTTCTCTTGATTTTTTTAAAACAAACAGGTAAAAGGTATAATAAAAAAAGTTAAGTGTAGTATTATTTCCATCTTTTCATGGCAACATCAATAGTAACATTTTTATTGTTTTTGATCTCAAGGATAAAAATATAATATGATTTGAGAGCACAATTTTTTTCTACTTCTCTGCACGAAAAAGAGAATTGGTAAAAGTAACAAATAAATTCACGAAATTGAAAAAATGACCTTGCTAAAAGGAAAAACTTCTTTACTTTGTTCGATTCTTTTTTGATCTATCAAGATGTTGGTGCAATCTTGTTGTAATGATGTGCCAAGCTTGTTTGGAAGATGATCAACCTAAAACTTTTAAATATTAATTACTGTGATTATGATATGAAAAATGCTAATAAAATCAAGATATATATTAGTATTATCTATATTATAAATTGGATGTACACTAAATATTTATTTTTTGAAGTATAAATAGATGAATAGATATAGATATAGATATAGATATGCATATAGATTATTTATGTGGAAATGAAAGTATATGAAGGGTTATTTGGATATTTGAATGGTATTGGGTAATTAAATACATAATGATATAATTGTATTTAATCATTTTTATAGGGGTATAAAGTATATGAAGGGTTATTGGATATTCAATTGGTATTGAGTAATTAAATATTTAATGATATAATTATCTTTAATCATTTTTAGGGGTATTATGGTCTAACATAATTTTTCCATTTTTGTTGACATTTTATAGTAGTATAGATATAAATTAATTCATGAGCATACCTTTTGAGGCTTAAAGGACAATTAAAAACATTAAAATTAATTTATCATTGATGACATAAATAGTTATATTATAAAATAGATAGTAACAATGAGATAGTAATTGATGGGCCAGGGCCAAAGGCCCAACCCATGTTATAAGCTTAGTCCGAACTAAAGGCTCAATTCCAAGAGATCCAGCTAGTCAAGCCCAAAGGAGTCTACACCCGGATAACCTTATCAAGATCAAGGAGCTATATCAACAGGGGAGCATGCACGGTCATCCAAGAGCCTCCTCTACGCTACCAAGAGAGCATCTAGAAGCCTTACCCTCGCAGCCTGAAGAGAGTCAACCTCCCTCATCCTTGACTAAGTCCTTTGGAGAGCACACCAACCGTCACACCTTGCGCCGTTGAGAAGATGATAGATCGTTTCCGTCGGATCAGCTACCTAATTACTATCAAACGGTTCTAAGTTATAATGACTGTCAGAATAGTCATACAATTACTACACCAAACCACTATAAATTGTAAGCTCTTCTGACACTTGGGGGACATCAGACTCATTTGAGCATAATTCTCTCATCCCCTCTCAAAGCTTGTAATCATGTGCTCTCCC